ATATTAAAAAAAAAATTTAAAAATCGAAAAACTAAAAATATTTAAAAATTTAAAAATAAAAAATTTTAAAATAAAAAATTTCAGTAAATTATATGGACTTAAAATAATAACCATATTAATAATACATATATTTGTATATTTCAAAATTTCTATCTATTGGTGAAGAATCTATAATATTTATAATTATTTTTTCATAAAGCTTTAATGAACTTCGAGATTTATAAATAAAAACTAGAGTCAAATCCAACAAGTTAAGTTTTGATATATTTTCTTGCACATGCCAAATCAAACTCGATGCACTAAGATTTATATAATTAATTACTGAAAGTTTATATAATTAACTGATAAAAGTCCTTTGTAAAATATTAGTACACCATTTTAGATAGTTACAGAATTTATAAATTTTTTTTTTAATTTTAAAATACAAAATTTTGAATCTTTTGGTTTAAAATATAAAATTATTTTAGAACTTATATATGATAAAACGGTGAAGTCTAAGGTGAGGGTTTAATTAAGTCCCTCATCGGTGAAACCTCTAAAATTGACCATTAGATTTGATCAACGCATCCAAATTGTTATAATTAAAATAAGTATATTTGTACAATCTCACACACAATTTTCTCCCACTATAACTAAATTATGTAACTTCTCTTTTTATCATCATTAACTTCCCATTTGAAAACAATATACATTAAACAAAAACAATTGAATGCAATTAATATTTAAGTGTATAAATTTTCTTATTTTTAAGATTTTATTATTGGTGATGCAATTAATATAACCAATTTTTTTTTAATTTAAAAAAAAACATATTTTTATTTATGTTTGGAGCACAAATATTTTTTTACCCTTGTATAAATTTAATTTTAGAATGACATTATATATTTGAATCAGTATAAATATGAATATATTTATAATTATCTAATAAATATCATCTCAATTTCTATATCAATTATTTTATATTAAATATAGGTAAATATATATTGATCATTTATGAACTTGTCCCGTTAAAATTTAAAATTAAATATAGATAAATAAATTAATGAGAATCAACATCATCAAAAATATTAATAATAATAAAAAAATTAAATTTAACCGATAAAAGTCATATATTATGTAATTAAAATCCTCATAATCTCTATTATTCTAATTCTACTAATTATTTTCAATCAATTATTTTTTACCCTATCTCATCAACTAACCATTTTTGTTTGAATTTTAAATAAAAAATATTTTGAACAATATATGCATTAATTGGTTTTGTAATAAAATAAAAAATAGTATAAATTTATGTAAAAATTGTTATAAAATGGATTGGTTTTGATTTAGTTAGGCATTAAAGTTTTTAGCGTAAACACATTGTTGGAGATATGAAACAAACCTAACAAGTTGCTTTCACTAGCTCTCATACGCTCACCTACGTAAATATCAACAGTGATAAAAAAAAATTAATCATCTTCAAGTGTAAGGAAATTCCTTCTCTTGAAAATTGTTTCGCAAAGCACGACTCGAGATTTTCAGAGACAAACTCCCTGCCATTGAAGAATACCCGCACACTTATAGTTAAATATGTTGTATATTTATTTATTCAATTTGTAAATGTTGATACTTAAAATTAGGTTATAGGTTTTGATAAATTTATCATTTTACTCGTTTGTAAATGTATTATCATTGTAGATCTCTCTAATTATGCACCGTGAACACTACGCCAAAAACAGCCTTTAACAGCGCAACAACACCGACGCTTATATAACAAAGCGCTCTTATAGGATTTTAGAAAAATTCGCTTAAAAAAAGCGCTTTAAAAGAGTAACCTTATCCGCTTATCCGGGTTCTTCATTGGATTGTGGCGCATAAAGGCGGATATTCCAGAATTGACAAAGCCGAAGTAGCCTTGCTGTATGCTTTCATAAAGAAAGTCAAGGTTAATTGGCCTTACTATATTATTAGTCGCATTTTTGCACTGAGAGAAAAGAACAAGGTGGCCTTGAGTTATCCGTCTCCCATTCAGTCCATCTTGATTAATGCAAAGGTTGTTATGGAAGGGTTGCCTATGATGTCCATCAATCAGAATCATGAATTTCAAAAAAAAAAAACGCTCACTCTTATAGGACACTTATGGTATCCTGTTGAAAATAGGTTTGTTTTAAATTTGAGACTTGGTAGTCAATTTGAAACTGCTATAACAGATGGTACTTGTACGCTTGAAAAAGCTCCTAGTGGTGACAACACTGAGTCTAGTGTACATCTGTTCTGACCCAGTCGCCTTGATCTTCCTCCATAGGCTGAGTTTGATCAGACTCAGTGTTGTCACCACTAGGAGCTTTTTCAAGCGTACCAGTACCATCTGTTATAACAGTTTCAAATTGACTACCAGGTCTCAAATTTAAAACAAACCTCTTTTCAACAGGATACCATAAGTGTCCCATAAGAGTGAGCGTTTTTTTGTTGAAATTCATGATTTGGATTGATGGACATCATAGGCAACCCTTCCATAACAACCTTTGCATTAATCAAGATGGACTGAATGGGAGACGGATAACTCAAGGCCACCTTGTTCTTTTCTCTCAGTGCAAAAATGCGACTAGTAATATAGTAAGGCCAATTAACCTTGACTTTCTTTATGAGAGCATATAGCAAGGCTACTTCGGCTTTGTCAATTCTGGAATATCCGCCTTTCTTGGGACGAATATTATGCGACACAATCCAATGAAGAACCCGGATAAGCGGATAAGGTTACCCTTTTAAAGCGCTTTTTTTAAGCGAATTTTTCTAAAATCCTATAAGAGCGCTTTGTTATATAAGCGTTGTCGTTGTTGCGCTGTTAAAGGCTATTTTTGGCGTAGTGTTCACGATGCATAATTAGAGAGATCTACAATGATAATACATTTAAAAATTAGTAAAATGATAAATTTATCAAAACCTATAACCTAATTTTAAGTATCAACATTTACAAATTGAATAAATAAATATACAACATATTTAACTATAAGTGTGCGGGTATTCTTCAATGGCAGGGAGTTTGTCTCTGAAAATCTCGAGTCGTGCTTTGCGAAACAATTTTCAAGAGAAGGAATTTCCTTACACTTGAAGATGATCAATTTTTTTATCACTGTTGATATTTACGTAGGTGAGCGTATGAGAGCTAGTGAAAGCAACTTGCTAGGTTTGTTTCATATCTCCAACAATGTGTTTATGCTAAAAACTTTAATGCCTAACTAAATCAAAACCAATCCATTTTATAGCAATTTTTATATAAATTTATACTATTTTTTATTTTATTACAAAACCAATTAATGCATATATTGTTCAAAATATTTTTTATTTAAAATTCAAACAAAAATGGTTAGTTTATGAGATAGGGTAAAAAATAATTGATTGAAAATAATTAGTAGAATTAGAATAATAGAGATTATAAGGATTTTAATTACATAATATATGACTTTTATCGGTTAAATTTAATTTTTTTTATTATTATTAATATTTTTGATGATGTTGATTCTCATTAATTTATTTATCTATATTTAATTTTAAATTTTAACGGGACAAGTTCATAAATGATCAATATATATTTATCTATATTTAATATAAAATAATTGATATAGAAATTGAGATGATATTTATTAGATAATTATAAATATATTCATATTTATACTGATTCAATGTCATTCTAAAATTAATATTTATACAAGGGTCAAAAAATATTTGTGCTCCAAACATAAATAAAAATATGTTTTTTTAAATTAAAAAAAATTTGGTTATATTAACTGCATCTCCAATAATAGAATCTTAAAAATAAGAAAATTTATACACTTAAATATTAATTGCATTCAATTGTTTTTGTTTAATGTATATTATTTTCAAGTGGGAAGTTAATGATGATAAAAAGAGAAGTTACATAATTTAGTTATAGTGGGAGAAAATTGTGTGTGAGATTGTACAAATATGCTTATTTTAATTATAACAATTTGGATGCGTTGATCAAATCTAACGGTTAATTTTAGATGTTTCACCGATGAGGGACTTAATTAAACCCTCACCCTAGACTTCACCATGATAAAACATAAAAAGAGACAAAAATATATTAATTTAAAAATAATAAAATTTAAATAATTAATGGATAAAACACATAAAAACCGGTTTATATATGGATAACCAAATTTATATTTTATGATTTGGTTTGAATTTTTAAAAGTTGAACAATTTAAATATAAATTTAGTTAACAATAACCACTTTTTTTCACACCCCTACTACCAATAACGCCCAAGTAAAAACAACAACGAAAAGAATCATAAAATATCGCAAGCAGGTGAGAATAATAAAAGATTGATTGTAGACAATATTCCACAAAAAGTAGGAATGTGACAAGATTTAGTGAAGTGTAGAGAAGGTTTGATTCATATACAAATATACAAAGCATGTGTTTAGCAGTGGAACCAGGATAGGGTACGGTTCCCAACGATACCTAAGAATTTATAAAATTGACGACACAACATTAAAGAATAATAGAAAAAGAGGTTACAGTGAATATTTCCATGCACAAGTTTGTAGTTCTTATTTTATGAGGCCTAATGAAGATAGATTGACAAACACACAAGATAGTCTACATATATTACATGATTAGTAGAACAATAAATATGAAAAAAGTTATTTCAACAACACCGGGTAAATCAAAGTGCACATGCGGGCAACTGTAGATCCTAATCGAGATAAATGAAATCCCTTTTTAAAGGGTTGACCTCTTCTAATAAATATATTTCCATATGCACAACAATGGATCGAACTTCCGACTAAATGGTTAAAAGAAGACCCAAATATGTACTAACTGCAGCACCATTTTGGTTCAAGGAGAACCTTGTATACATATATTTGACTACCTATGGTATATAAAACGTTTAATAAGTTATTGAGATTTGGGGTTGACAAAATGCCTCAAAGGCTCAAAATGTCATCATGTCTTCTTTCCTCTCCTCTTAACCATTCAACTTTCGCCTTTTGGTTAATGCGGAAAACTACAGCACAGATATTTTCTATGCCTGCTCAACTTTGGTTTATTTGAAGACATACCTTGATTTACAATGGTGTTAGTTTTTTCCTTCCTTCTTGACTTGGCTTTGTCATCTGAAGAGATGCCTTGAACCAAATCATCGTTTATTTGCTTGTTATCCCGTGTTGATTGGCCCAGAATTGCTCCATTTTCAAAAGGAGATGAACCAACACTAACCTCGTTTTTATCACAAGGTTTAACACTTTTAATGGAAAACGAATCAACTCGCCCATATTTTTTCATGCAAACCTCTTTATTGGCAAAGCTAGAAGAGGCAATCGGGGAACATAAACGGTATTCCCTAACTATTGAAATGGCCTTGTCTAATGTCTGTAGAGCCTGTTCAACCTCCGAGCGGATATATACACTCCTCTTGCCATCTGCACCAACTTCGTCATTTACTTTCATATCATCCTCCACACTTTGTACAATCATTTCCTTACCTAATTCTACAATCTCACAAAATGTTTCGCTATTTTCTAGTACCCCTGCATTCATTGCTGATGACATGACATTATTTGAATGTTGACTTCTTTTATCCTCTTTAGATACATCGTTTATTTCACCCTTCTTACTTTCAACAAGATCTTCAACAGGGTGAATTCTTGCAACTTGCGGAAGCTCCCCACTACTCGTGCTATATAAAGCCTCCCGAATTCTAGCATATAACGGATCCCCCAAGGCCTTGCTGAATTCTTCTTTATCTTGGCTCATCACAGAAGCCACAACCTATAATATTGTCAGAATAGATTAATTTCAAAAGATGATAGAAAACATTAGTAATGCAAGGATGCAAAGATGTTTCGCTTTTATTTCGAGTGATCAAAATGAATATTCAAGTTGAATGTAAAAGAAGTATAACCGAAAAGGAACTGCAACCTTCTGATAAAGCCTGAAACCGTTGCCAATGAGTTGCCTTGAAATAAAGTTTATCAAAGACGGAGGAACAAAATCAACCTTTACATCCATATTTGCTATTGTCCTACAAAATTTAATTATTGAATTAGGATTTCATATTAAAAACGTTTCCGTTGTGGTACCGTTCCATTTCAGTTAATCCGTAATTGTTATGCTAAAGTACACCTAAAAGTAAAACTCACCGAAAGTAACTTCTTTCCGATGTACACTTTTGCAAAGCAAACCCTCCCACTAAATCAACTCTCACGACATCCTTTGCTTCAGGAATTTCTTCATCATTGAAACCACAAAGGGTTTCCGCAACACTCTTTGAATCAGGAACCTGAGAACAAGTTAAGCACAAGTTCATTGAAAACTTCAATCTAGTTTAACTTTCTCTGAAAAGAATATTTTTAGAAGAAAAAAACTCTAGTTAAAAAGCAATGAGAGGCTCAGATGATTACCGAATTCGTAAGAACAACAAGTAAGTCCTCTTGAAAGTACTCAAACAGATAATAGTGCACTACAGCTTCCCTCATAGACAGAGGCCACGAAACCTTCATCCTTTCTTACAAAATTCAGAGCATAATCAGAATTTAGAAATGAAAACCTTCAACGGGGGATCGAAAAGTGATAGTTTTAGTTAATACTGGCATCACATACCTCACTAGTGATATCTGTTCCCCAATCTGGACCTTCTGTAAACATTCACTGGATAAGATTTTGAAAGTCGGGATAGTAGATTGAGGCCACCTAAATGAGCATTGTTTAAAGGGTGTCAGATTGAAGTATGAGTTCATTTAGCATCGTTATGTCCAGTGTTGGGTTACAATGCTTCATAGTACCAAGAAAATAACTGACATATAACCTCTATAGCACCGGCACCTCTGAAAAAATGTGTGTCCGTGTCCGACACGACATTGGTGATTATGTTCAATTTGTTCATTTTTTCAAATTATTACCGGTGACTACGTGTCGGTGTTGGTGTCGGTGTCGTGTCCAGTGTCTGTGTCCGAGCTTCATAGCATATAACCGAAAATAGTTCTCACCATTTTTTGTAAAGAGAGGTTTGCCATGAGATACATAAACCTGTAATGATGAAAATAACTCGTTCAACTTTTCGAATTGATATCAATAATATGGTTTTTGAAGTTTGTCAAAAAAGCCGATGATAAAACTTTTCGTTGCTCCAGTGTGACTTACAAACATCAACAGGTCCATCCACAAAACCTTCCACTAGCATTGTATGAAAGGGAGTTCCCTCCGGTCCTTGACGATACATAACACGAAACTCGTCACTATCCTGTTTTAACTATTGGAAGAAGTAAAATCATCAGATTTCACACAAAGTTTGCATTAGTCCATTGAATTTTAAACAATAGAGCCATGTTGACAGAAAATCACAGATCCGACATTTCTTTGAAAGGATGTTATCAATAAACTTAGGCATACAAAACAAAATAATCCGAGATCTAAATGAATGGAAGATCGCATATATAAGGAGATAAAAAAAAACAGTTTATCATGAAAACAAAGCATTGTGAAACAGCAGAAGCCAGAGAATGGATAACATACTTTCCAATCATTATGTGATGTATTCAACCTTCCATGATCATCTGAAGCACTCCTCAACATATCAAGAAAGTTAGCTATCTCTTTAGTCTTACGATCTATTAATTTCTCCTTATATCCTACACAATCAAACAAAGCACTAAAATAACTTTTCCACCGAGCTGATACAAGTTCTTCCTAAATGATTTCACAAGAAATCTTAAACAGTCAAATTGGTCATCGAACATGTGAGACGATATCATTATAGTCTCGGAATGTATCAAAACTACAAATATGTCTTCCATCTATCAGTTTGGTCCATAAATTACTACTACCAAAAGACAACCGGGGGACATTTTGAACTATATTGACAACGCCTCACATATTTAGGCGCCAAATTAACTATTTACTCCGAAAGAAATTAAAGAATGGTAATCACCTTCATCTTCAAGCTCTGATGAAGGTAGGAGTTGACTTTTTACAAGCTTTTTGAGTATCTCAACATTTGTAAGATCATCAGAGGCAAGAGTCCTATCCAGTCTCTCCCTATACTGCACTATCTTTCGTTTCTTCTCCATTTTCGCATATATTTGAGAAACCTTTTCTCAAAAATTCAAATCAGGCAAAGATTCCAACCATTCATATTATTCCCAAACTCATCCAAAATTTACCACAACCTATGGTGAAACAAGAAAACAAATCAGGTATAGTATAGTTCTCATCACATCATTCATAGTAAAACATAACAAATTGCTAAACAAACAAAGATTGAATAAGTTTCCAACAAACCAGAAAAAGTCAAAACAAAAACCTAATTCTGGTGTTGAAGTCAACATACACAACATGCACATGAAAATCAAATTTCAATACCAAAAAATGAAGCAGCAGCTGAAGTAGTGATGATGGTGTGAGGAGAAGAATCCAATATTCAAGATAGATTCAGTTGATGTGATGGAACAACAAATCGTATACACAGCCAAAAGGTTTATGTGACTTTAGTTGAGTTCATATATGAAAAGGCGAACTTTCCCAACGACCTTTTTTATTGGGAAGTGGTGTGTTAAAGGGATGTGTTTTTGTCTGAATTAACTATAATATAATAAAGTAAATTGTTCTAGAATTATCTATAATACTATATAAATTGTTCTGTAATTCACCATTTTGCCCTCTGGTCTTTGTCCTCCACGTCACCATTTCAATGGTAAAATATGTCTTTCTGTTTTTCCAATCGAATTGATGTTTTCATTGAAGTTTAATTTGTATTTACTTTGTACAGCCTCATATTTTACTATTCAAGTTACTTATTTGATAAAGAAAACATGATTAAGTTCTCAATCTAATTTTCAGAAACAAATGTTTCAACTTTTATTGGGAAGCAAACCTACAACAAATTCAACTTATAGCAGATTGCAAAACACTATCATTTCTAAGGAAAAACTATTCATCATCTGATTTTTCCATTACTCTTAGTCCTTCTCAACCGAATGTCTGCAAATTCAACTCATAGCAGACTGTAAAACACTTTATCATTTTCAAGAAAAAACTATTTATCATCTAATTTTTCCATTACTCTTATTCTTCTCAACCGAATATCTGCGAATTCAACTCATAGCAGACTGCAAAACACTTAATCATTTTCAAGAAAAAACTATTCATCATCTGATTTTTCCATTACTCTTGACTTTCTCAACCGAATATCTGGTTTGAGTTTCTCTTCACTGTCTTCCTATCTCAAACTCTTTCGCTGCAAACTTTCTCTCCTACAACTAACATGCTCTAAATTTTTCGATTTCTTCTTACGAGGAATCTTCCTCCATACCCGTACTTTTTCATCATTTTTATCAATCAAAGTATTTCATCCATACAACGGGGTGAGAAGGGATGAAGAGAGAAGAAAATTATGGTTTTTTTAGTTTATTGTTGAAGAGGATAAGATCAATAATGATAGGATTAATTTTTCTGAGTTTTTTAGTTGTTTTCTGAGAATTTTTTCATTAAATAAATTATATAAAGCAAGATTTGCATGATGGGATTTTATAATTATATCTTTTATATTAGTTCAAGTAAAAATAAAGTAAAACATCTTTGAATAGACCGATCAATCTAATTCTTTAGTACTCGAACAAATGCTATATTAGTTGTGTCTATTGCTTTAGGTAAAGCTGGGGCCATTGAAAAGGAAGTATGATTTGTCATTTGGTATTTTTATTAAGTTCTTTAAAAGTTTCTGATCTGTCTGAAAAACCTAGCTCAATGCTATGATGGAAATAAGTGGAGGTATAGTTTTTATTGCATATTAATTTGTTAAAAATTATCAATCGTGTTTCAGTTATATTATGTCTATTGTTTCCTCTAAAGATAAGATAATTGAAAGCAATTTTTCAATTATGGAGTGAATGTGTTAAACATACATGCATATGAACTAATTGGACAATGCATCTAACAAAATCATATTTGTATTTTTTTCTGAGATTTTAGAAATTTTCATGACAGTTACAATTTCTATTTTACATATAGAACGTTTGCGATCAAGTAGATGTTTGGTGGGAGATTTTATGACATTTACCAATTAAAGATGAGTCAGTGTTCTAATATTTGTAATAACTACCATTCAATATTGTTATAGAGTGCAAATTATTATAATTTATTATATAAGATTATCTTTACGTATGAGGTTTGAAAATCAATATTGTTTAAAACATTTTTTTACATTTTCTAAAACTGTCATTAAATGTAAAAAAGAATATTTATGCCATGTATTTAATAAAAAAATTCTTATGCTCCGTATAACTTTTTTTAGTGGTAAAATTAAAACAAAAATAAGTGAGTCTAAAATTAAAATATGTTTTCTTTTTTATTACACGAACTAGGTAAACATTGGTTTACTTGAAATAAGAATTGTAACTGAAAATTTGTAGGGGTATAATATTGTGTCTTTTTTCAAAAACCTAGACTTGGCAGTGCTATTTATTTGTAGCATGGCAGGACTATTTACTTATAGCGATGATAGTTACAGGAGGGAGTATGTCTTGTGTCATTGTTGTGTTAAATATATTATTTGTTATCCAACAGTCAAATATCTGGATGATTTTGATTTCCCTTGAATTTAGCTATATTAAATTCAACAAAATTGTTTTTTTAAAGCAAAATCATGCATTTTAATGTATAAACAATCTATATATTAATGGTTTTAAATATACATGTAATTTAGTCCATGTTTTTTTTTTTACTTTATTTTCACTATAAATTATTATATTCATACTTGCATTTTAGTTTAATTGTTTTATACAAACTTATTTTTCGCCGTGCATACGAATAGATATTTGATATCATTATATAAAAAACTTAATAAAATATATAAAATTTCTGTCAATAATAATATAAAAAAATACATGATACAAATAACTATCTTACTATTTTCTTTACAAAATAACAAATGGGTGCATTTTCTTATATATTTTTGTTTTATTCTTTCTCACCTCATAAAATATCAAAAATAATTTTAAAGATGTATAGTTAATTTTAATGTGTTTGATTTTGTTTTAAAATAGATTTGACTAAATTTCAAAAAAAACTAATTAAAATTTATAACTTTCAAAACTTAAATATGATTTTTTTTGTTCAAGAAAAATTTATGAAAAAAGTAAGTTTATCCAATAATTTATTAATAGTGTATTTTTTTTATAAATATTTTAGATATAAATACTAAAATTAATTATTTATTCAAATATTTTATAAATAATATTTACGAAAATAAATTTACTATTGAATCAAATATTTTTATAAATAATACTAAAATGAAAAAAATTATAACATAAGAAAATCCATGTCTTTGAAAAAGATCAATTTGCCCGTTACTCTAACCATGCCATATGTCCAATTGAGAGACATTTTCCAATTTTTTTCTTTTCTAAAACAACTAGTAGGATACCTGCACGGGTACCAGTTAGAATATACAATTGAGTGCATAAAATGTTGAATTCAAGTAAAGAAGTGTAAAAAAAAAGTGAATTTGAAAAAACAAAGTTAAAAATATTGAAATTATATGAAGATATGAAAACATTCATAAATATATAAAGTTACTTAAGGGGAAAAGAAAATTAAAAAAGGCATATCTTGAATGAAATAAATTAAAAACAAAAAACAATATAAAATGAGAAAGTCGAAAAAGTAAAAGGAAAAAGAAATAATTAAAATTAAAATAATAGAAAATGATAGTGCAAATGTCATAAACTAATTGAGTAAATGTTTTTGTAACTGCAAAAAAAAAAAATGTGTTTAATAAAAAAAATAAAATATGGTAACTTAAACGTGTTAAATTATAGACATTGAGAACAGATAGAGGAAAAACATCGTTATAGCAAAAGTGTTAAAAAGATTAAGTGTTGTAGTTCCCCAAAGTGAAATTGGAAAGAAACTTGGGGTGTTTATAAAGGAAAACGTGTGGTCAGTATTTTGATGGTGTTGCAGTTATCGAAAGAGACTTGTGAGAAGTAACTGAAGAAACATAGGTACGGCGGAAGGCACTCCCATAGATCGTGCTACAATTGCGAGGAAACAGGCGGAGTAAGTTGAAAAGTTGTACATGTCAAGGATTTCTGCTTTTGAATATAAAAACTCATTGTGTTCTCATAATTTGCATGCAGATCATATCAGAAGTGGCTGAGGGAGAAAGAAATGATTGATGAGAAGCTTTGAATGTTGTTAGCGGAGGCTTCAGGAAGCAAACAAGATCTCTCTAAACCGAAGGAGTTGGGAACAAAGATGTGGCTATAGATTTGACGACTGCGGATGTTGGAGGCCATGGAAAGAAAGGGGAAGGTCGACCCAATGTCATGGTTAGGTAAATTTTTTAGATGACATGCAAAAAAATTCTAAGACAAATAATAAACTTAGACAATATTGGATGTTGTTGTGAGAGTCTAAATATAATGTGTTTTAAAGTCCTTGAAATGTTGACAGATTAAAGAGAATGATGTATGCTTAAACGACTTGCAAATCCATACTAAATGCGACGTTTGTGATACGTCCTATGGAATTTAGGGCATGCAAGGCCCTAGTTGTTGGAGATGTTGATAAGGTTGTCCCATCACGTGGAAGGTAATGTTGTGTTAAGCATATTGTCACAACTGCGAAAAAATCGGTGGAAACAAACAGAAGAGTCGCCACCAAACGTTATTTATCCCGACACAGAGAAATGAAATGATCGAAAAAAACCTAAAAGAAAGGAGAAGAGAAGGTCATCGCAACCAAATCTTGGATTCAGGAGTCGGTTACACAAGGGGAAGGTATGAGCACCCCTCATGTTCGTTGTACTCAACGGGATCCACGCTTGTTGTTTAATCAAAGAGTGGGTTATCTAAAGGCTACTGCTAAACGAGAACGGGAAAGGGAAAAGAAAAAGGAGACTCGATAGGACATCGCCTCCATATGCATACGTATTCCCTCGTGCAACGGGAAAGTCAGAGTCAACATAGTTCTGGAAACTACGGGTGATTGGGGAAAGTTTCTCGCCAAGACATCGTCGTCTTGTGCCTACGTATCTTTATCTGGTATGAGAAATCAGAGCAAACGTAGT